AAAAAAAAAAAAAAAAAAAAAAAAAGGACGGACATTCGGACCAGGCTACAGCATGGGTGAACCTGGAGGTTATGCTCAGTGAAATAAACCAGACACAGAAAGTCAAATGCTGTACACCAATAGGAGGACCCTGGAGTAGGAAACGCATAGAGGAGAAAGGGGCAGGGGGAAGGCAGATAGTTAGCGTTGAATAAGGACAGAGCTTCGGTTTGGAAAGATGCAAGGGCTCTGCGGGTGGGTGGTACTTACTGCTTGTGAGCTCTGCTCTTGAAAGCGGCTAAGATGGTGAAGTTTATGTTACGTCTATTTTACGACAATATATTTTAAAGAAAAAAAAAAAAAAAGCAGGCCCTGTCCAGGTAATGCGCATTCTAGCCACGAGCCAGCCCGGCTGCCGGCACATGCCGCCCTCCGCACCTGCATCCCAAGGGAAGACCCGGGCACCATTCGTCTTTGATTTTCCAAAATCCACGGCATAACTCCGTGCCAGCAGTGGACAAATGCTGAACGCCTTCATGGGGAAATGATTCACACATAGAGTTCTGAGACTCCCTCCGCCCCAGCTCCCTAAAAATACTCCAAAAGATCCCCCACAGGTCACCCAGATCAGCTGAGAAACAGAGACCAAATTTCAGCAATTCTTTGTACCACATGACTAGTTACAAAGAGGGCTGTAACCAGCAGAGTCTTACAAGGCAGAAAGGAAACAGGGAAAAGTGATTTTTCACAGAAATCCTCCGGAATACGATAACCCTGGAGCACAGGGGGTCCGGGTGGAAGTCCCATGTCCTCGCTGGTATCATGGGAGGACTGGAACAGGTGCAGGGAGGTCCCGTCCAGCATAGCTGCTGCAGTGCTCATGCTGACGGCAGAGGACGAACAAAAGACCCAGTTACCCTACGGGTGGAGGATCGCCCAGGTGTGCCATGCCCGTGAGTCCTCTTGGCAGGGCCCAAGAGCTGGCACTGTGCCCACATACCTGGGCCTAAGGGGTGCGGAGGGAGACCCCGGGGCAAGCAGCAATGCTGCGAGGCAGCCCTGCCCACCTGATTTCAAAAACACAGAGTGGGAGGAGGCGAGGAGCCGCATTCTGAAAGCCTAGAAATTGGGTCACATAAAAACAGAGATCTCCACACCGCCCTTGAACATGAAAAATGACACTAAACAGGGCAAGGGATTTTGCGACCTTAATAAATGAGAGACGCGCTCAGGAACACCGCCCAGGGCCCATTCAGCAGCACGTTCTGCAGGAGCTGGTTATGCATGATTCCCTGAGGGTTGCAAAGGCTTCAGGGACCAGGAAGGGGGGGCACAGGCGGGCAGACCTCTCGGCCGGCAGGAGGAGCCCAGGTCCATGGCCACAGAGCTACAGTCCACACCTTGCGTTGCCACTTGCTGGTGTGTGGCCTCATGAAAGTCCTTTCACCTCACTCAGCCTCAGTTTCCCCATCTGTAACATGAGGTGGTGGGAGTACCGGCCTCACAGGGGTCCTGAAGAATAAGGGGAATCGTGAGCACTCCACACAGGGTCCTTAAACCCCCCTGCAAGTGGGAGAGGCGGCTGTGGAAGTAGAGTCTCTGATTAGGTTCCGAGAGAGACATAGACTGGGGGAAGAGTGACCACAAGGCAGGCGAGGTCCCCCATTCCATGGTGAAACACGGAAGGCTCCCTGGAGGAGGCAGCAATTGAACCGGCCTTGAAAGATGGCCAGGCTAAGAAAAGGGCCTTTGGGGCTCTGTGCAGAGTGAAGGGGTGACAAACCAGAGGCAGCATATCCAAAGCTGAACCCCGTGAGGATCCAAGGGATGCCCGTCTGGGCCTTGCTGCATTTTGCGGCCTGGGTTCCCCAAAGAACACAGTTCCTTTGCAGAGCAACTTTAAGCCTGGATCTGATTGTCATCTCCAGAGGACTGGTCTGATTTTTGGAAGGAGGGGATCCTCTGGCACCTTTGGCTTCCCCCATGCCACTCCCCACCACGTGAACGGTGTCAGTTCAGTGGCTTTTAGTGAATCCCAGGAATGCTTTGGTTTTTAAAGTACTGGTCCACGTGCCAGAAAGACAAACACTTGAAAGATGTGAAATGCGGCTATCTTCAGTCACGGAGAAGGGTCTGCTGGCCTGGGTGTGCTGGCACGGGCACGCTGGCACAGGCACGCTGGCATGCATTCTCTTGGTGTCTGGTGGGTGTGGAAGACGTGAGCTTCCAAGGGACTGGGGCTTAATTTCATGGGATGGGTGATTAAGGGGGAAAAGACGGCCTTGTGCTTGTTTTCCTAAGTGTCTGCATTGTTCTAAGATGAATGTCTCTGGCCACATGAAACTCAGCAGCCAGCCACGAGGGAACTGACGCCAACTCGTTCACGCTGTGCCAGAATCCACCTGCAGCACTGCCGTGGCCTGCTCGGGGGGACCAGGTCGGGAGAGACAGGAGGGCATTGGATAGGACGAAGGCCCCTTGCCACACTGTCTCTGGAGATAGGCACTGCTTGCTCAGCCCAGGATGGCCCAGTGGGAAGTGCTGGCTGTAGCCACCAGATCTGAGTTTTCAAGAAAAGCTGGAAATGTGGGGTTTGGTGTGGAATCTCCATTTATAAATGTGAGCAAATGATTCAAATTCTGTGGGCCAGCCAGAGGGCACATAACTAAGGATTACAGGACATACATATCCAACCCATACTGCTGGCTGTCCGTGGGAAAGGGGGAGGGGGCCACGAATGCTTCCTGAGCACCTACTAAGTGCAGGGCACCTTCCATGCCGGCCATTCACTTCGTCTCCTAACGAGTCCGTGAGGGAGGCTGGGCATTGTGGCTCGCACCTGTAACCCCAGCACTTTGGGAGGGTGAGGTGGGCAGATCACCTGAGGTCAGGAGTTTGAGACCAGCTTGGCCAACTTGGAGAAACCCTGTGTCTACTAAAAATACAAAAATTAGCCAGGCATGCTGGCGGACGCCTGTAATC